GTGGTAGCCGCGGGCAGGAGGCGGTGGGGCTGTGGCCGCATTGCGAGGCAGTTCCGGGGGCCTGAGGCGCCCGAGGTGCCAGAGGCCGCATCGGCACCCAGGCTGGAGCGGTGCGGGGTAAAGCCGAACTAGCTCTTGTTGCTGCGGCTCCTCTGCTTGTGAAATGTACTGAAAAAAAATGCGATATGGGTGCAATGCCTGTAGCAGTACAGATAATCCTTCAGAAGCTGATTTAATGGCAGGACCCGCTCAAGGCACATTTGGCAGGGTTAGCCGTGCCACCTGTTTTTAAACAGCCTGCTCTGCTTCGGAGGAACTTTTTTTCTGTTAAGACAGCACACTTGGTAGCTCAGCCTCGTAACTCGCAGGCAGCTCTCGCAGACCAGCCCCGCGGGCCGGGGAGCCGCTCTCGCCCCAGCCTGCGGCAGGGCCCCCCAGGAAGCTGGCTGCTCTCCTGGGAAGTGCTGGGGGCTAACGCAGACACAACACCCGAGGAGGTGAACAGCGGGAGCAGCCCCGGCCAGGCACGGGAGCCTCTGGGAGGCAAGGGCTCAATGTATTTTATAGCGCTCTTGGAGGGCCGCGCTCCGCCCTGACGCCTCCCCGCCAAGAGCCAGCTACGGACACATGTAACCGCCACCAAGCCACTGCCCGGGGCGGGCTGCATAAGAGATAACGGCTTCTTGCCCGGTCTGATCTCGTAGGGAAAAAACAAGTTTCTCCTTCACATTAAGCACGGAGACGGGAAACACAACGCGGTGCCACAGGGACCCCACCCGCTCACGACTCCGACGGCCGCCCGCCACGGCGGCTGGGACAAAATGGCGGCCGGGCGCCCCACGAGGCACGACGGGAGAGCCCAAGGGGCGGTGGGGGCAGCCGGAGCCCGTCACGTGGGCAGCCCCCGCCCGCCGCGCCGCGGTGCATGCTGGGAGCTCGGAGGCGGTGGGGCCAGGAGGACCGTGGCGGCCATTTTGTGTCTGCTTCGCTCGCCTCTGTGGAGAGGCCGGTGTGGGCGTTGCGGCTGAGGAGGGAAGAGCGGTATCCTTCTGTGTGGGACGCGGCGGCTGTGGGGAGCTGGGTGGGGGAGGGGAGCGGCCTGGCCCGGTCGGGTCTCTGTCGCGTCCTGTCCTATTCTGCGCCCGCATCCTCGCTGTCTTGGGACGGGGCTTTTTCCTTGTCTCCACCCCCGTTACGGTTTGGCTTCGTGCTTGGTCCTGTTCCGTTTCTGTGCTCTTCTGCGTGGGGATGGGGCCTGGTCCGTGCCCTTCCTCTGCTTCCGTCCCTCCTCCCCAACCCCGCGGCCTAGTCTGCCCGCTCTCGCCTGCCTCGCTTGAGGCCTCAGCCTCACTTCCCATCCGTAAACCGCTGTCCCTGGAGCTCCTGTGGCCAGGCCCGGCGGGACTGCCGAGATCGCGGGGAAAATGGAGAACGGTCTTTATCCCCCCGAGGGGTAGAATGTCAACGGAAGAAAACCCTGTCTCTGATAAGTACAGTTCAAGCAGAAGTGGGGCAGATGTGGTTAAAAGAGACCTTTTGAAAACTTTCTTTTTTTCTGGGGGGGGCTGGGGGTGTGTGGGTTCAGATTTCTAATTGCTGCATCAAAGTCACGTACAATTTCTCAGTGTCCAGAAATACCGGTGGATTTTTCTTTGATTACTCTTTCACAATCTGCTTTTTGTTGGGCAAGTGATTGCAGATTTACCTTTTCTCTAAAATGTTTCTCCCCAATCTAACATTGTCTAATAAAAGAATTTATAAGCTGCTTTGAGATCTTTTACCGTTTTATGTTGGAAGGCATCTGTGCTTCTATTGTAGGTATTAATATGTTTCAAGTTTTGGTTGAAGTGAGGGACACGTGTTAACAAGGAACAGCTAATAAATAACAAATATGTATTTGTCTCGCTTAGGAAGATGTGTTTGAAGTGTTTGCTGAAATACTGATGCTGACCTGCAGAAAGGAAATTGTAGTTTGCTTCTTCTGTCACATAGGTGTCCAGAAAGATCTTCGCTTACAGTGTTTCTGTTTAAAAACGGATAATTCTTTAACTACCACAGCAAATTATTTGGTGTCATAAGAATTGGTAGCTGGATAACTGAAAAAGGAAAGAAATTTTTAACTAAAACCGTTGTTCTCTTTTATAAATGTTAGCTACTGGTACCTGTTATTAAATAGGCACTTCTAAGTACTTAGCATCACTTCCCTTTCGTGGATTTCAAGTCTATTTCTTCTTTAATGCTTTAGCAACTTTATTTTAATCTACACCTATGCAGAGAGGGAATGAGTCCACTTAGAAATAACTAGGACTTCAAAGGCATGTGTCAAAGAATATGGAATCAAGTGATGATTCTGATTGCGTGCATGCATCTTGCCAGTTTTGTACCTATCTGAAGAGGGAAATGCTGGGTGGTATGAGGGGGAGGTTTGGTTTTAGACATGCATGAAATATTTGTCATACTTGGAATGCTCAGAGATGCTTCCTATGCCTTTTTTTTTTTTTTTTTTTTTAGGGAAAATCACAATGATGCTAATTAGCTTAGTGTTTTACTGAAGGTCACTTTCAGGACTGAATGTTTCCTTAACAGTCTTCAATAGGTATTGTAACCGGGATTTTGATGATGAAAAAATCCTTATACAGCATCAAAAAGCAAAGCACTTTAAATGCCATATATGTCATAAGAAACTGTATACAGGACCTGGTTTAGCTATACATTGCATGCAGGTAAGAAGTTTTACACTTACATAAGCTTTTTTTATCGTTATCTAAAATTGGAATTAATCGTGAACTTAAAAAGGTAGGGGTTTGGGGGCTTCCAGGGTCTTAAAAACAGATGAGAAGACGACAGCAGTGGTCTGTTTCCAGAACAGGAGTCCTGCTGTGTCAGCAGTCATATGGAGAGTATGCAGTAGAGATCTCTGCTGTCATTTTTGGGGTGTAGGAGGAGTGAAGGAATTGTATTGTCTTGGTGTTCAGAAGACAAGTTTATATAAACTGGGTTTAGAAGCTAATAGTAGCTAACAGTGATTAGGAAGCACATATCAAGAAAATGCTTGGCCAGAGAGATTCTTCCCATAAAGGATGTTCCTTTTGTATCTTGACACTGGCTGAAGAACACATAGAATCTAAGCTGAATTGTGGTCCGGAGGAATTTTTTTTTTTTCTTTAGGTACATAAAGAAACAATAGATGCTGTTCCAAATGCTATTCCTGGAAGAACAGACATTGAACTGGAAATCTATGGCATGGAAGGCATTCCAGAAAAAGATATGGAGGAACGGAGGAGGTTACTTGAACAAAAAACTCAGGGTAAAGTATAATCTAGCTAGTTATCTGTTATTTCCCTAGTCTGTTTCTTGCTGATACTAAGCTGTGTGATACAGGTCGTACTTCTCAGAAGAGAAAGGGTTGGGTTTCATGCATTCTGTAACTGCAGCTCTAGACATTTGCCAGTCATGTAGAAGGTTGAGAGATATTTTTCTTCTGTTCAGAAGTAGCTGTATGCCAGTGCAGCTGCAACAATTACCTAATGACTATGGGGATGGCGATTTTACTTTTGAGGGTAAGGGGAGAAAAGGCCAGGGGTGATACAAGCCTGATGATGCCCAATACTTAGATTTCTGTGCTATTTAAGTATACACTTGTTTGAACTGCTTTGGTTTATGCTGGACAGCATGAGACACATGAAGGAGGACCCCCGTTTATATTGAGGGTCATTGCAGCATGAGTCACTTTCCTTCCCTTTACTATTTGTACGTATAGGTAGGCTCACATAGTCTTTCTTCTTTGTAATCTATGAATTTTTGAACATGCTTATAAGATTTGAATCTTATTATTTTCGTTCCAGCTAGAATACCCCAGATAAAATGAATTTCATAGAATATAATTTGCCTTCAGTTTGACCATATACATTGTACTCTTTAGCAGAGAGCCAGAAAAAGAAACAACAGGATGATTCTGATGAGTATGAAGATGATGAATCTGCGGCTTCAACTTCATTTCAACCCCAGCAAGTTCAGCCGCAGCAGGGGTACATTCCCCCGATGGCGCAGCCAGGTTTGCCTCCTGTGCCAGGTGCACCAGGGATGCCTCCAGGTAAGATGGTGTTTGAAGCTAGTTACTGAAAAGCTGAGTAGAAACACAAATTGCTGCTTGTATGCTGGAATAATAATCTGCCCTTTCTAACACTGGGTGTTAGAGGTCACAAAATAGTTTTGTGAGGTGCACATAAGCAGTTTCTTCTTGGTGTTTTTTTTTTTCCTTCCCCCATTTTGTGTGTGCGCACCCATCTTCCTTTGTGAAGTGGATTAAGATGCCTAATGCTTGTGTCTAGATTGAAGGAGTGTTAATATGGTACTAAGACAGATTAGTACTTTAAACGTAAGTCTACCAGTGATATTTGCTTGTGGTATTTTGTTGCAAGATCTTGGAAACAGGGCAGAATGGCTGCCATATATCTAGAGACTGCTAACAAAGAACAGACAGTTTATACACAGGCCACAAATATATTGAGGAAAGAATTTCAATCAGTGACATTGAGTGAAAACTGGTCTCTTCTCATATTTTCTGTAATGATAATGCATGTTCTTTGGAGACTGCTCAGAAAATTTACAGTCGTGCAGGACTGAGAACAATGAATCAAAGTCAGATTTGCAGGTAGTCTTTATATTGTGTTGTTTGTAGGCAGTGTTATTTCAAAAAACAATCTTAGAGCTTCCTGTAAAGCATTTATCCATTAGTCTAAATAATTTAGATAAATTTATTAGGTGAGATTTGTTAGCAACTATGTGTTGTTGGAGTTGTTTAAAACTTATTCTTCTTTTAAGGTATACCACCATTAATGGCAGGTGTTCCACCTATGATGCCTGGAATGCCTCCAGTTATGCCTGGAATGCCACCTGGGTGAGTAGCAAGAAAGACTTAATATTACATGTTCATACTGTGCATTTTAAACTGTCACAGAAAAAGTAAAGCTAATTAGAAATATGTTCATAGGAACCTGTCAACTCTGTAACCTTAATGTTAAGGCTAACCAAAGAACTGGATGGCTGTAAACCAACATTAAAAATATGGCCAAACTGTGAGTTTATGTATAAAGTATGTTGCCTTTCTCCTAACTGTATTGAGTAGTAGTATTATAAGAATGTAAAGTTTTGTTGTGTTGGTTTAGAGCCTTCTGTGAACCACTGTTTCTTTGTGTATTGCACATATGTTGTGCATCTGGTTATCAGTCATCAACCTAACAGGAAAAAAATGCTGGATAGTTTAAATTTTTCTTGTATTTTGGGCAAAAGTAAGATGTTGGTTTTTATGCTTGTTTGGGGTTGACACCATACCCTATCAAAATGTGTTTGGAAAATCACAGTTAGATTTTTGATTTTGTCATAAATTTTCACAGATTACATCAACAGAGAAAATACATGCAGTCATTTTGTGGTGGAAACATGTAAGCATCTCATTAATGTAATTCTAGGTACATTCATTATGCCATTTTATGTCATGTTTTTGATAAGCTTGAAATTGTTTTACTGAACACCTCTGAATATTGCCTGAGAATTTGGGGAAAATGTCTAGTTAGGTTTTGTTATTGTATAATATCTGAAGTTTTTGTGCTTTATCTAAATGAATATTACAAAATTGTATGTTATGAGAAATGCATTCTACAAAATATTAATTAAATAGATGCTTAGGGACTTATAACCTCTCTTGAACCAGAGTACAGTTCCATGTGCTCGACCCTTTACATCCTTGTTTATGTAGGACATACTACAGGAACTTTGCTGCTAAGTTTTAAAGCTCACTGAGGTAAAAGGTTGTTCTCTTTTGAGACATAAATGTTGTTTTAACAGTCTTTGAATTTAAAAATCCTGTCATAGCCGAACATCTTGTGGATGCTTATCATGACTGTAGCTTTTCTGGGTGGAAGCTGAACAGAATTTTGTCAGGCTTGCTGGTGCTTAGTCCTCCTTAAACTCTTTGTTAACTTCAGGTGAACGTAATGTCATCTAGTAAAAGATACAAAATAATTTGCCAAAAATTCAGTGCACTTCCACTTTGGTGAAATTTTAGGGGAGGGGGGTGATGTTACATTACGTTTTTACCTAGTTCAATCTAAAATTTTGTTTACTTAACCTGATGATAATTTGTTTAAAAATGAGCAAAGAAGAATTAGGACTTAGGAAGCAACTTTGTTTTTAGTGTGACACTAGTTCTAACGCTATCCCTGCAGTTTCTCAGAAAGTCATCTTTCTGGTGGCAGCAGGCAGCGAGCATCCAGCACTTATTTTTGGGTCTAACAGAGAGTTGTCAAAATGGGTGGCAAGTCTGACTTTGCCTTCTCCAGCTGTTAACCCAGAAAAGGGGTGACAGTACTGTGTTCCCAGTCATTACTGCTTCTGTATTGGTTGTTCCTTTTGTAGCAGTCATAGACAAGTTGAGAATAAAAATAAGACCGGGTAGCAGTTTGCTTTGCAGAATGAATGCTCCCCTGTTTATGGTGACCTGTTTTGATTTTGAAACGGCAATGGTGAAGGTTTCTTGACTTTATTGTATGAATAGAAACTGCTTCTTAGTGGGGTTTTGGTGTGCGCTTGGCTGTTCTGTATCTGCTTATCTTGCTAACTAAAGTAATAAGCATTCCTTTATTTTGTTTCTCTAATTCAGCTCTAAATGTCTGGAAAAGTTTAAGCAAACTTAAGCTACACTTAGTTTGTTCCCTGTAAAGGAATCGTGTATATTCATCTATAGCTTCCCAGTGTAAAAGCACTTAGTGTTGTAGACAGCTTATTTTTTATGGCATTGTGGCCCTGTGCAGGAGGAATTTGCTTATATTAAGGGTTGTATGTATAGTTTAGATGGGGAACATGTATTAATTTGTAGTGTGGTTTAGTAGATAAGGATTAAAGGAGTCATTTAGATGCCACCTTTCTGTTAGGAAATACAGACCAATTTTTTTTTCTCCAGGTATCAGTAGTGAGGTACCCAAACATGTTTTTAATATGAAAGAAAAATATGCCATAATAAGGACTTCTCATTTAAAAAAAAAAATTAAAATCCCATTTTTCTATCCTTAGCATAGGGAGTATTTAATGTAATTGAAACTCCAGAAGCTTTCTTATCCTCTGGTCTCTGCTCTGCTTTTAACAGTATTTTGTGGATTGTTTTACAGATTTGGGTTGTCTGCAGTTCACTAGAGAAAGGAGAATATATTAAAATAGTATGAGGGTGCTATAACCGCAAATAGACTTGTGATGTCATTAAGGAGTAATAGCAGATGTACAGCGATTTTAGCGTGACTGGAGTTAGCTGGTTTTCCTACTTTCAAATTTTCTGAGTGCACTAATATCAGGTTCTTGGAACACTCTGCTGAAACTAGTAGCCTGAAATAGATTTCAAGAGAGACACCAGTTCTGGAAATCTGACAATAGTGGAAGTGAAAGCTTGAGGAATTAAAGTTCAAGCAAAAAGTGTTTGGGGGTTTCCCAGGGTATTTTTGGTAGTGGTGTTTGTTTTCTTTTTGTGGAAAACCATTTCTAACTGGAGTCAGCTGGTTTTGAATTGCCTCTGTTGAGAGCTTCTTGAAATTATTTACCGTATTTTTTTATCTAATACAGGTATGTGCCAATTGTCTTAAGAGTTTATCATGAGTGTTCATACCAGTGCTCATTTTCTGTTTAATAGGATGATGCCGATGGGTGGAATGATGCCTCCTGGGCCAGGAATACCACCTCTTATGCCTGGTATGCCACCAGGTAGGTCAGAGTTGTCAAACTCATACTATGGTGAGAGTTAAATTATATTTATTTATTTCTGCTGAGATTTAGGGTTTACATAAAGAATATACAGACTTACACCACCACCTTGGTGTGGATTGATTACCACAGAAGCCACTCTTGTGCACAGGTGAAGGGGTTGATTCATGGTTTTTTATTATAAATAATTATTTCTGTTCAGTACCATTGTGAAGATAAAAAAATAGAATATAGGTTTCTCTTCCTATTGCACTTTCTCTGGCTTTTCTGTTGCCTAGTCTCTCTTCATCCCTTTTTTAATGTCTGTGCCTGCAGCTGGAGAACCGTAATGATTGAAAATGCTGTGGGAAATGAGAAATACTCAAGTAATGAACCTGCTGTGTGAAGAAACTAACTGGGATTTTGGTCTCTTACCATAGCTAGAAGTTTCTTGAACTTGTGCAGCTCTTAAGCAGCCTTAAGTTCTGAGGGTGTTCCACCTCACCAGCAACTATGCTGTGATGGCTTGAGATTTGCTGGTTTGCCCGCATTTCTCACGGGGGGAGGAGGCAAGTCACTAGGACAGTTGCAGCCTCGTTCTGCTGCACAGTAATATGATGGAACCCATGTGAGCTGTTAACTTACCGTCTCTGAACCTCTCCTAGAGCCCCGCACGTATGAAGTGCATGTATTGGGATGACAGGCTACAAAAAGTTCAGTGTGCTGAAGACACCCAGCAAAGCTGATCTGTGTTTCAGTCAAAGTTCTGATGCCATTCATAATTGCTGCATCTTTTGGATTGTGTAACAGTGTTGTCCATGTGCTTGGCAGCATAGGCACAGTGTGTTGGAAACAGTTAGTGCATTAATTGCATTGATGTATTGAGAGCGTAAACTTCATCATTGAAGCGCTAGTAGAAAACACAACTTAATTCAGTATCGCTCTGAAGCGTTTGAGGTTACTGCCTATGCGTGGACATTTATTGGTGACTGCTGGCATTACTCTTTATCATGTTTTATTTTACTATTGCCTTAAAAATACATTTTCCTTGGGGAAGACTTTGTTCTAAGGAACACTGTGAACAGAATCCTCTAAAGGAGTATTCTTGCTTCCTTCAGCCTGATTTGTTACCAGTTCTTTGTGGTTTGTAGGTATGCCACCGCCTGTTGGGCCTCGTCCTGGGATGCCTCCCATGACGCAAGCACAGCCTGTTACAGCACCGGGCATTCTTAACAGACCTCCAGCTCCTGCTGCATCGGCACCTACCCCCCAGCCTCCAGTTACTAAACCACTCTTCCCAAGTGCGGGGCAGGTAAGGTATCTCATAGCCTGGAATCGATTGTTATATTCCTCAAGTTGCCACTATCTCAGCAGTGTCTATTCTTTATTATTGAGGAGGCCCGAGAAGCGACTGGTTAAGTTTCTTGCTTGTGTGGATTCTTAAGTTTAATTCAGTGTAGTGCTTGAATGAATTTTAAAAGATTCTTTTGTTTGTCTTGTAACAGCCATGAAACCAGACAGAAGTTCTGTAAGCACATGGGGAAGAAGGGAGTAGCCAAAACACTTCTTTCTTTAATCCCTTTAGTTTGTCGTTTATAAGGATGCTTTGGGTGGGTGAAGGGATGTGTTAGTCAGCTACAGGAATCTGATTGCATAGAACTTTACCTAAAATTTCTAAAGTATAAATCTTGACATGGCTTGTTCTCTCCTGTTCTTTTCATAATGGGCTGTCTACCCATAGATGGACTAATTTATTCTATAGTCTTGTTAAACTGGCTAAATTTTGCCTGAAGTAGGAGGGCTTTTTACTTCAAAAAGTTTAGGAGTGAGTTAAGGTAGTAAAAATTCGTTTAAATGTTTTGGGGAGGGAAGTGGGGAATTGATAGCGGCTTGTGACCTCTAGCCTTGCAGAAACCTTCATAGTGTACTATTTGCATTTTGGACTTCTGCAGGGAAGATACTCGTTTACAAAACCACAGTCCTTTCATAAGGAAGGGCTTAGCATAAGAAATCCTTTCATCTGGATACTTTCCACCCATTTGTTTGGAGACTTTTCACTGTTTCCTTTCTTTTATGCTACAGATGGGGACACCTGTCACAAGCTCAAGTACAGCTTCCTCCAATTCAGAAAGTCTGTCAGCATCTTCTAACGCTCTGTTTCCTAGCACAGCACAAGTACGCAGGAAGTCACAGTTAAAAACAAATTGCTTTGCAACTTAACCCTTTGGACCGTTCCATAAAACCTTAAATTGACTAAACATCTTCAGATAATTTCTGTTACGTGCCTGATTATGTTTAGCTGGTCAAACTGCAGAGTCCTTGATTGCGAGTTGCATCTTACTAGAAATAAGCATGTCAAAGTGCCCAATTTTTCTTAGTGTGAAAGAATGAAATGTTACATCCTGGTTCTAAAGGGTTAAAAAAGCATGAAAGCAGTTAAATGCATTTTAGTGGGCAGTGGTTAGCTTGATGCATGGTGAAGGCTTTTTAGTTTATGTTGTTTAATATGGTACATCATAATGTAGGGAATTTCATAATTTGCATCATGTGCAAAAAATTGAAATGTTTTGATTGGAAAGTTCAGATAATTGTAAATGTACAGTGGCTAGAAACAAAAGCATTCTCTCGTAACTAAAGCTTGCTTTGGAGATTGCTGCATCTTCAGAGAAGGTGCCTGGTAAAGCAAACTTTTCTTGTCTAACAGTTTTAAGAAAAAAGTAAGACAGATGAGATGCTGGAATCTGTAGTGGACCTCATATCTGCCTTCAGTTGATTCTTCATTCACACGTGAGATTTAAGATCTATAGAGAGACATAGTACTTTGTGGAAATATTGCAGTATTTTTATAGAGATAATGCTTAAGACAAAAAACCCTGACACAATAGAACTTTCTTAAGTATTTGATAAAACATTTCTTAAATACCTAATTTTAATGAATACTAACATTTTGAGCTGTACTCTAAACTAATGGTTGCTAAAGTATGCTAATAATTTAGTGAGAGAACGATGAATTTATACTTACAGGCTCTTAACTAAACAGTGATTCAGGAAAGATTTAGACATTTACCAAACTCAGTACTTAAGATAAAAATTTTGATAGTGATTTTTTTTGTTGTTGTTCCTTTTTTTCTAGTTGTGGCTTTTGACCTGCAAATTCTAGACTTTCCTCTGTGTGTGTGTGTGTATATGGGGTTTATTTTGTCTTGTTTTCAGTTGCTCTAGTATGTGATCAAGCTGAACTTTACTTTTGTCAAGCTTGTTTTGATTATGTATCTTACTGGAAGGTTTCAGAGATCTAACAGGCATCATTTTTCTTACGCTTTGAGAAATAAATATTGATTTATCTCTGTATTTCACAGGCTGCAGCAGCTGTTCCAGGTCCAGTTGGTACCGATTTCAAACCTTTGAATTCTACACCTGCAACAACAACAGAACCCCCAAAACCTACATTCCCTGCTTACACACAGTCTACAGCCTCAACCACTAGCACGACAAACAGTACTGCAGCTAAACCAGCTACATCTATAACAAGTAAGCCTGCTACCCTCACAACAACCAGTGCAACCAGTAAGTTGATCCATCCAGATGAGGATATATCACTGGTAAGTTAAAATATTTTCATTGTCTTACTGAAAAATGCGATTTATGGTGATATGGCTGATCAAATAGAATTTCTCCTGCATTATGCATATTTTTATAACAGTGAGAGTGCAGACTGTACAGAATTAATGTAACGGAACCATGCCTTGAGAAAACTTCAGTTGCAAAGTAATGACTGGCATATTGCAACGGTCCTGCTGCAGATCTAAGCCTTATTTTTGGTGGTGTTAGGAGATTACTCAACCCAAAATATAATTTGGACTTCTCCCGCATATGACTTAAGCTTGAAGTTAGATAGACCTAATGAGCGTAGGACAAAAGCCTTAACAGTTTGAAGTGGTCCTGGTGCTGTTACAGCAGTCAGAAATGGGATTTATGGCTAAAACAAATGAACGTTAATTTCAGTTCAGATATCTTTTAGATTTGTGTTTGGCTTTTTTGTCTCAACTTGCCATGAGGAAAAGGCTTTCTTCAGCTGAGAGAGGAGGAGAATTTGTGTTGTGTGCAAAATGCTAGACTGGCCAGTATTAATACTTTTTGAAGGAAGGGGGGAAAATCCAAATGCTGCTGTGTAATGTTACTGGTAGCAGTCTTTGAACTTGTAAGGTAGTTGAAATAGTTTAGTGCCTGTAATCTGTTTTGTTACACTTTTATTTCCTTTGCTTTTGGTGAGTTTTAGCCTTACAATGTGTTATGGTTGTCTGTTCCTGGTTTTAGGAAGAGAGAAGGGCACAGCTGCCTAAATATCAGCGTAATCTTCCTCGCCCAGGACAAGCTTCCTTGGGTAATCCACCAGTTGGACCAATCGGAGGTATGATGCCACCACAGCCAGGAATTCCTCCACAACAACAAGGAATGAGACCTCCCATGCCACCTCATGGTAATCATAAGTTTCCCAGCTTTGTTTTCTTGAAAAGATTTGTCTTTGCTATAAACTTTTGTAAAACTTGAAGTGGCATATACTGGCGGGTGGGTGAGGCTTTTCAGAAGATGCGACTGCTGTCCATTATTTAAAAAAAAAAATATTCTTTGCATCTTAAATGTTCTGTTTATAGGTCAGTATGGTGCTCATCACCAGGGCATGCCAGGATATCTTCCTGGAGCGATGCCTCCATATGGTCAGGGACCTCCGATGGTGCCCCCTTACCAAAGTGGACCTCCTCGACCCCCAATGGGAATGAGACCTCCTGTAATGTCGCAAGGTGGCCGCTACTGATGCTACTACACACACTCTAATAGGTTTGGAGATTAAACCTTTTCTCATCTTGTGCTGTTAATATAGCAGAGCTTCCGTCAATTAAGGCTTCATTGTGACTTTAAAAAAATAAGTATCTTCCCACATGCAAGGAGCTATTGGACATTCTTATTTTACACGGGAAAAATTATTTGGAATAATAACAGGAACTTTTCCTGATGTTGCAATTTATACTGTATGGCTTCTTTTTCATGTTTCATCTAGGTTTTTAGAAGTGAAGTATAGTAAATATGGTTCGTTAAATTGTGAAGGCGCTGGAATTACATGAACATACCACCTTAAAGGCAAGTTCTGTAACATTATGTTGCTCTTTGTGAAATGATGCCTTCACAGCACTTCAAGTGCTGTTGGACTTCATGTCCCCAACATAGTTTGGTGAGGGCTGTAACTGTTCCCAACTACTTGTACATTTAAGTCTGAACTTGTAACAATATTTAATGTATTTAGAGTTCCTCCTGTTTCAGGGTTTAAGTAAACTGACCCACTAAGGTCGTGTGACTTTTCTGTACTGTTATAAACTTCATTGTAATAAAAGAAGAGAAAAATTTATATGCCTTTTTATTCGTGACCAGCTGTGGACAACTGCCTGAAAGGTTTGTACAGATGCATGCCATGGTAGCTATTGGTGTAATGAACACAATTATTGGTGCTGTTTTGATAAAATCTGAATTCCTTGTTCTAAAATTAAGTCACTCCTTAGCTGCACGTCTGAGAAGACAAAGACCTGTACACTTATTAACTGACTCCTCAAAAATGAGGCTGCAGGAGGCACATCTTAACTCTTGGTTGTAACTTCTCTTAATGCTTATGTTTCTTTATTTGTGCTTTCTTGTCCTCAATAAATTTTAAATGATTTCTAGTTCTGGCACTTACTTGTAGGATGTAAAAGTGATTTTAAGAGGCATCCTAGTGCCAGATGTGTCCTGTTAGTTCATTCTTCGACTGACTTTTTAATGTGCAAATGCATAGGAATTTCAGGAGCCTTTTAGATGAAGATTTCTAGAAGCTTAGGTGCATGTCACATGGGTGAGTGACTTCCAGTTGATGTTGTATTGAAGTTGACCTGCAAAAGAGAAAAAGTAGCTTGACCACCTTCTCAGTGTATAAAAGAGACAGAGGGGGCAAGAGTAATACGTTATATGCTGTATTTTTACCTTAAATGTTCGGAATTTCAGATCTCAACAGAGTCTAAAAGATGAACCATCTGTTGTGTGCTATGATCAGGTGTTAGCCGGCTGAGTTTCTTGAGCCATTTAATGGAAGCATCTAGAGTAAGAGACCTTTTTATCAGTTCTCCTAATTACAGTTATCAAAGAGAGGTCTTCCCCATATGAATTAGTCTTTTTATCTGTTACTAAGAGTACGAGTGATAAATTACTGTCAAGGTTGTAATTCCCTTAATGTCTAACATCGCTGTATTAGTGTGCTATATTTCTGAATGAGAATGAAAATGTAGAGTGAGACTTTTTGGAAGGAAGGGAAGTGAGAGCTTCCCTGGTCTCTTCACAACAGGGTAAAAAAGGAGTGGTGAATTTTTCATTTGCAGGTCAACTTTAAATACATGCTCCAGCCTCAAGCCTTATCTGTGCAATTTAATTTATGGGGATATCTCCTGTTTCAGGGGAGGTTAGAAAGATTATCAGCATTTTTGTGTCAGTTTATGTTCCATAGATGTTTTTGTTGATGGTGGAGTTTTTTCACTTAATTATAATACTGAGCATTATGGCTCTATTTCTTGAAAGTCTTGGGGTTTTTTAGCTGCACTGAAGTACTTCGTGTGGCTGTATTCTGTACTGTCTTAATAGTCCAGAAATACAGTACAGCTAAAATACTACATTGTCTCTCAGCTTCAAACTTGGGGTCACGGAATGGCTCATAAAAGCACTGGAGCATCCAGTACACTCTTAATTACAGCTGAATGGCCTTAGTTTAACCGTTAAGAATTATCAGGCACTTTTTCTGAAGTGTTTATCAGTTCTAAGACCATAACTCCAAGCCTCTGTTGAGAAGCAGTTCTCTCTGATCACTGGTATCTGCTGATCACCTGTCAGATGTGCAGTATTTGGCTTGCAAATGTGCTGAGTGGGCCTTGATGTCAGATCTTTTGTTAGCTCTTCATCTTGCTTTATACATAAGTCTCTAACAGATAAAACTGTTTTGCTTAGGCAATGCTTTTATACTCTGGTTTTCTTCTGTTTGTCTAATAAGGATAATTACAAAACACTGGAGAGATTTTTACAGTGTCTTACATTCATCCTTTTTGTAATACTACACATAAAATTCATACATTATAAATTGATTTTAACTTGTCCTTTTAAAACTATAGAACTTCTTGCTTTCTCTGAAGATCATATTGCTGCTGTTAAGGATGCTTTGCCCTCCTGCCCCTAGTAAAGTAAATACCTTCTCCCTTTGGTGTCTTTCTGTAACGCATTGGTGTGTTGTTTTCAGACCCCTACTTTTCCTGGGATAAATACTTGAAAACCTTCCTGCATGTACTGTTAACTCAGCATATTCTGCAAGTTGTTTTAATTAATGAAGAGTTTCCCTTTTTTAAGTAGTGAATGTCTCATTGTTCCAATAATAGTACCATTTTGTAGCTATTACTACACAGACTCATAGCTTGGACGCATTTTAAGATTGAACTTTCCTTAGTAGTAACGTTATGATAATCCCTCAACTAAGTACTGCCACATATTATTCATATGATACTCTAATATTAATCTTCAGCAAGCAGGTGAACAGTTTTTCTGTGATTTTTCACGTGGATACTTCTTTTCCTGCTCCTGTCACTTCTGTGCTATATGAGCTGTCATGTGGCTATCTTTAGTTACTCTTGTGTCTCTTGTGTTGTACTCTTCTGTAAACAGGCGGGTATTTCAGTGCATATGTTGTCTGTTGGTCCCTGACTTCATTTCTTTGGATACTGCTTCTTAATGGTCAGAGAGTTGGATTTATGGTGCATTTTCCCAAAAAGAGGAAAGCTACTTTGAATGTAGTAGTTGCTTATATAAAAAGACTAAGGCTTGGTTTACAGTACAAAGTTTAATCAACATAGTTGTGCCAGCAAAATCCCTAATGTGACGCAGCCATGCAGACAGTTTTTTACTTCTTTTTTACTTACTAGTCTCTCCCTCAAAAGAGATTGCAGACGCTTTTATGATTAGAGAAAAGCATATCTCTCTTATATCTGTGGCAGAACTCTAGTGACACAATTACATAGACAGAAGCTTTGCTTTTCGGTTGTTGCCTAAATTTGCCATGGCAGATCTTACAGTAAAATTAAAGCTTGCAAGTGGATTTTGGTCAATCTTTAAATTGGAATGTAATGCAAATGTTGAATACATAAAAACAGGCTGCATGAAAGTGTTCAGACACAGGTGGGAAAATATGTTTAGCAAAGTATTTAGAATTTATGGCATGTAGCACTTGTTTAAAAGGTTCTAAATTATTTTATGCAGGGTCTCTCAGTATCATTATGAGAGGCTGATCTCATATCTGCTGATTTTTAGAGTAAAAGGGGTGAGACTGGCATGAAAGAACCTTGGAAAAGCCCGGACTAGTTTTTCAGAAGTCTTGATATGACTGTTTTGTACTGCCTTTAGAATATCTTTCTGCCTTTGGCAAAGGTTGCTTTAAATAAAATCTTGAAAATATAGCTGGCTTATGTGGACTAAAAATTTCTTCTTCTGGAATGTTTGGATTTTTTTTTTTTCTTCCACAGATGAGATTTTTAGGTGCTGATAATAGATTTGAGGCTGGGATGTATATGTAATAATTTCAGTGGATAACTTCCTCACTCTGTGCATGCATGGGAGAATATAAACAAGCTTCTAGAAACACATTCAGCTGCATCTGCCTTCTATGGTTTCTGCAATTATTTTAGCATATGAACTCTTGAACAGTACTTACGTAGAACTGTATAACTTACTTAAAACTTGGATAAAATTGAATGGGAATATATAACCTGCAGTTATTTTATAGGATTCAAAGGATTCTGCATACAGGATAAAAAATAAAATACCAAGATTACTTCAGTTTTACAAACAGCAAGAAGGGCATTATGACTCTTCAGTTAAATTGAGACTCTGATATACCAGTCCATGAGCTGGGGCTGCAATTTAAAATGGTAACTAATGACACTTAATAGTAAATGTCTTAATAATTGTACTGGTCTAGCTTCTACATAAATACTAAGGTGAGGGTGAACATTTTCAGTGGCTGATGGAATCTTTAACTCTACTTTTTGTGAACTAGTACAGTAAATACTATCAGTTATGGGAAAAATGCCCCAAGACAACTGACTATGTTCCATTGATCAAGATACAAAGCAAAACAAACTGTCCAATTCAGAAATAGCTACCAACTGTAAAAAGTTTTGTTTGGGCCTAACAAAATAGGTGCAATAGCAGTCATTTTCTTTTGTTTGCTTGATCACTGGAATTTTGTTGACTTTGAATGCATGTCTTTCACTTAATTGGGTCATGTTTTTTCTAAAATTTAAATTTTTCTTCTTCCTATAGCCCTGCCATAGGACAGGCTGAGGCAGAGTCTCAGTGTTGCCCTGTTCAGTCTGAGGCAAGTGGGATTTATTTTATTCATTCTGGGGGCTTTCACAGCTTTATGGCTGTTGGATATTTATGTCCCCAAACTTGCAGCAAGTTTGGTGAAGGCCCCTAAATTTATTTTAATTTAGGTTTTTTATTCTCTTTTGGTAGATGGGCTCTATATTAATATTTATCTTTTTATTATTGTTGTGTTTTTAAGAGTTTTAGGGGGAGGGAACATGTTCTAAGATTTGTTTGGGTACCTTTTCTTTTAATGGAATGCGTTTCTTTCAAGGCTGCTCAGGTAGTCCTTCGGCCACACTGCCCCCCTCCCCCTCTTCCCCTGCATTGCATTTGTGCTATGTTTGTTTTTGGTTTTGGTAATGTGACTTTGTGTAGTCTCTGAGCTAGTGGCATGTAAGTATCAATTACTAATGTTTCCTCTTCTGGGGAGATGTGTCTGTTGAAGTGCTTAAAATACTTAGGTTTTAACTACTAAGTGACATTTACAGTCACAAAATTGTGTAGCCTAAATCACAGAATACAGTTTCCTTGGAGGAGGTTAAGATGTTAATACTGCCGCATATGTGAGCTGCACCACAACAAATATTAATGTAGAGCCCTATGAAGAAATAGAGATTCAAGTTGGTAAAGTAGAATAGAAGAATGAGAAATTGAAGCTGCAGATTTTTCAGTTTGTCACTTTCAGGGAAAACCTTTTCCTCGGTCTCTCACATACACCAAACTTGACAATATTTTGTCTGTTGCAACAGTACAGAAAGTCATAGCGCTTTTTTTGAACCCTTGTGGAATTATGTTGCATATTCAAAATTTGCTTAGGTATATGGTTATCTGAAGTTCCTTCTTTCACACAGTGACTAGCAAAAAATCTACCCTTTGTGAAGAAAAACGAGCTTTAGTGTTGCTGCTCACGCTCTTACAGATATATTGGTTTTGAATGTTTGAGGTTGCTTAAAGACAACTTCAGCTTCAGAAGAACAGGTTTTTGTCCAAGGAGGTCTTGAAGCCTATCAGCAGTGAAATAGAAAATTAACATATGTTGGAGTCAGGTTTTATAACTTTTTTAGATTTTTGAGATATTTTTAAAATTTGTGGTGTTTTTTGATGAGCGTAGCCTGTATTTCATTTCTTTAAGATTTTGCTAAATATTGACCCCTGATGTGATTTCCAGTAATTTTAATTAAAGGATAGAGTTGTAATTCTTAACTTAGTTACAAGAGTGGATTTCACATTCCTGTTGTACTCTTCTTTGTTTGTACTCTGCCCTTTGCATTTTTCCTGTAAAAGGCCCCCCCAGATC